GGCTGATGGCACCATTGAACGCGGAAAGCGGGAACATACAGTCCTGCAATAATTTTAATCACGAATGACATTTTTTAACAGTCCTGCTTATTTGCATTGATTTGATGCGGCGAATGTTTTGTTGTTGCTGATCCAGCTGTTTTGCGTTGTGTTGGTGTGTTGTCGTTTTTTTTGTCTCCTAAATCACCGGCAAAAATCGAGAGTCGTGTCAGGGCTGATGATCAACGCCCGTTGAGCGTTTCGAAATGCGCATTCACTTTAAGTAAGCACAATTGTGTATCTTTTGTGCTGCAATAACAAAAACAATAAGGTGATTCTCAACGAAATTTCGATTTTGTTTTTACAAAGTGTCCTTTCTAGGTGTAAATTAGCAGTGCCTGTGTATGTACTTTGCCTTATTTCGTTAAAAAAAGGGTCAAACTCTGTACTCACGATGACATGATTCTCGAAGCCCCTGAAAATACGTCAATGTATGCCTAAAAATACTATAATTTATATTATTTACAACGCTATATGTAGACCCTAATCATATAGCAAATGTTTTCACGTACCGACTGACATCATCAACGAACAAATATTGCATTATTGAATTTCATTCTGATAAAATTCCATTCCTGACCCGCAGTCTTGAAATACAACCATGGCCGGAGCGTTACTCTTATTACAAAACCGAATGTACCTAAAATAACAATGAATTTGCTCAATTTCATTTCATTTCGTTCGATGTTATGGAAACCTGATGACAGTTAATTAAGAGGCCCAAAATAAAATGAGGTGAAAATTATGGAAATTTCTCAATGGTTGATTAATATAAATCATCGTATTTTTAGACAGTACAGAGTTTGTCTTTTTTTGGACAGTCAATCAAGAGACCCAAAAAAGTATAAATATGGGGTTGCAAATGTCTGGAAATCATTAATTTCAGATCAATTATAACGACTGTATGGTCACAATTGAATTGTAAATTCCGTGAAAGATTCTAAAAATGAATTTGAAAGCTATTGTGAGTGTAATAATTTGTTTGAGTATAGTGAATCTATCGAAATCAAAATCATATGAATCAGCAACAAAGTCATCGTGTAGTTGTTCAAAGCATTTTACACCGGTGTGTGGTTCGGATGCTATCGTATATGATAACAAATGCTGGTTCGATTGTGAAGCAACTAAGAATAAAAAGTTGAAGCTTCAATGCAACAAAACGTGCGATGAATGTCCAACCAAAGTCGCATGCCGTTGTGCAAACGAGGATAGACCAGTATGCGGTTCGAACAATGTTACATATGGGAATCCATGCTTGCTTGCTTGTAAACAAGCCAACTTTGAGCTTCTCTATCGAAGATGTGATGATCGATGCGAAAAGTGCCAAGTCGGAAAACCGTGCATCTGTACAACCGAGTATAATCCTATTTGTGGTTCAGACAACGTTACATATGGGAACCCATGTGAATTCTGTTGCGCACAAGCAATAAATCCGAATTTAGATGCAAGATGCTATAACGATTGTGACTCATGCCCGAAAAAAGAAAATCCGAAGCTGCACATTGTTTGTCATGACAAATGCATCTGTACGAAAGAATATCAGCCGGTGTGTGGCTCAAATGGCGTTACGTACGGTAACAAATGCTTGTTCGATTGTGCAGCAGAAAAAGATCCGGATTTGAAACTCGTAAGTCAAGGTGAGTGCAAGAAAAAGTCTCATTGTGGCGGAACGAAGAGTTTGCACCACAACAGACATAAGAAAAAGAATTCTTCATCTTCGTCATCCTCGTCGTCGTCCTCTTCATCATCGTGTTAATCTTCTGAACATTTACGAAAAAAATTGCCCCCTAAATGAAAGAATCAGCGTACGGAACGAGTGGAAATAATAGCAAGACAAACAAGGGAAAAAAATGGAATTGCAAAAACTTTAAGAAATTGAATTGAATTGAAAGTAATTTTCATTAGATTATCACATTGATCATATGCTGTATTTATAACAAAATTATTGGATTGAAATGGATTTCAATAAAAATGACAGAAATTATGAAATTATTGCGTGTTTTTTTTTTGTATTTCGAGCTATTGTTTACGTGAATAAAGGCAAGGTTTATTTTCGAAAGGTTCAATTAATTATGATTCGAACATATGGAAAATTACCAGGAAAATATAAAAAAAATTGAATATTTTTCGGATCATTTTCAAAATTTGAGGATCAAAATTAAATGAGCCTTTTCGAAATATGCATCATTTCATATAATTAGCTAATTTCATCACATTCATCTGTAATATTCCATCAATGTATTAACCTATGAAACATTTATTGTCTTCTTTACTTTTTTTGCTTTGTATCAGCCAAAAATATTTCGCTGTTTATCTTTCCAATCATATTTATAGAATACCGCAAAATATTGTTGTGCCTATGAACTCATTGCATCTTGTACCAAAGTCAAATGAATTAAAGGAGAGGTTTAATTTTAGACTGATGTTTTTGTTTAAAAAATTTCCAATTTAAGCTATATTTAAAAAAAAAATATTCACCAAAACGAGATCGGGAAGAGTAATTCAAATATTGAATTCTAGGATCTGGTTCGTTAAATTTCAAAAAATTGCATCATGTTCGGCATCATTCAAACATTTTCAATGAATACACAAAAGGGAATTGAAGGAATTCATTGACCGAATCTGTTTATGGTTTCTTCGATTGAATATGATAGAATCAATTGGCATCAATAAAATCATAATCATCTATTTTTTCATTCCAAGTCAATATTTCTCGTTAAAATAAATGAGAAAACCAAATGATCGTTTATTCATTTATAACATACAGCGGCAAAGAATAGCCGACCCATGTTCGAGTGTGAATTATTTAAATGCAAGCCACAGCGTTCGTTTGCGATGCCTTGCCATTATCAGTTGCAAGATTGTGTATGTTATTCTATCAACGTTTCACTTCTTCTTCGTCACTTTGTTCGTATCGTGGCCAAGGGGAAAGAAGAAGAAGAAGGAGAAACAGAACGAGTGATATAGTTGAAATAAATAAATAAACACATCTGTACGTGTATTGTATGAAGTATTGCATACACTCTGCCGAACAAATCTCCAAAAATTCAAGAAATACGCCGATACGAAACATTCTGTTTCTGTTGTTTCAGCTGACAGAACGCAACTGTGTGCTATTTTGCAAGGTCAATTAAACAATGAGTTCATAATTTCGAAAATAATTAATTTGGAGTGAAAATCAAATATTTTGAAAAAATACAATCTAAAAATCACTAGTTGGACAAAAAAAAAATCGAAAGTTATTTTTTTAAAAATTCAACAGTGCCAGATGTTTGAATGATCATTGTTCGTTTTGTAATAAACGATGATCTCATTAATTTTGCTGATTATATGCGTCACAATATTCATTTATGCGTATTTCTTCTCCAGACCCAAAAACTTTCCACCGGGTATTTGATCAAATTACCATTTATTGTCTTGAACGACGATGAATATTTGTTTTTATTTCCTTAAAAAAAATCTTGATTGCAGGTCCACCCAGACTGCCATGGCTTGGAAGCGTAATTTTTATGGTACTACTAGATCCAAAGCACTTGCATCGTGCCGCCAAACGGATATGTAAATTCTATAAATCGTCGGTGATTGGACTTAATTTCGGTAATTTGCCCATAGTCGTTGTGAACGATCTGGAGAATGTGAAAAAAATGCTAAATCATCGCGATTTTGACGGACGGCCGGATATTTTAATGGCCAGATTAAGGCATCCACAGTTCGAAAGACACGGTGAGTTGGAAAGAAAATTGATTTTATATACAGACATTACTGTGTACAATTTGATCGAGTGCAGGAATCATTTTCACCGATAGCGATCAGTGGCACGAACAACGGCAGTTTGCTTTGCGACATTTACGAGAATATGGATTTGGTCGACGCTTTGATGCATTTGAAGAAGAAATTGACACACAAATTGCTCAATACATTGATTTGGTTAAAAATGGACCGAAATATCCACACGAAAATGTATGCAACTCGTTGGAATGCTTCAGAAATAATTAGCATGGTATTTATTCGATCTGAAAATGAAGATTTGATTTTTTTTTGTCTACAGAAATTCTACAAAGACGGCAAAATCTTACTACCGTATGCATTTGGCCCCACCATAGCCAATTGCTTAATGAAGATCTTTCGCAATGAATGCATACCTCGCGAAGATATGGGCGATCTCAACACGTGAGTGTCAAAATATGTTTTTATCAAACAAAAATATGGACAAAAATATTTTCATCCAAAGTTGAATGTGTTAGCATTTCAGAATAGTATTACTACGGATATTCGGAAAACTTATAACTTTTTCCGACCCATCCGATTTCAATTTATTGAAAATGATTGAAAGAAAATGGAAAAAAAGTGTATAAATTGTTGACATTTTGCCTTCCATTCGACAGACTTATCGAAAATTCATTCAAATTCCAACGGAATACCGATGATTATGGAAAGCTATATAGTTTGATTCCGATTTTGGCAACGCTGTTCCCCGACTTGTCTGGTTACAAAGCAGGGAGAGACGCTTCAATTTCGACCTTTGAATTTTTCTCGGTAAGGCAACAAATTATTCGATTTAATTTTTATCGCAAAAAAATTTAACCAAAGACCAAGATCAGATGTTTCAGTCCTTACCAATTCACTTTCACATTTTAGAATATTGTGCACGAGCAAATTAAAACATTTGATGAAAGCTATGAGCGAAACTTCATCGATATGTACTTAAACAAATTGAAACAAGCTGAATCGAATCCAGAGGAAAAAACATATTTTTCAAGTAATTGAAATCCCTGTTCAATGTCCAACCGTTTTTTATTCAGATACTCAATTTTTTTTTATTTCTTCAGTTGATCAATTGATCTTCACTTGCATGGACTTTATGCTACCGGTAACGTCATCGATGCCACAAACAATCACGTTCTTATTGCAACAACTTTGCCACGAACCGGAAGTGCAGCGAAAAATTCAAGAAGAAATCGATGAGGTCACTGGCGATCGTCCGCCAACTTTAGATGATCGTGCAAAGTAAAGTTTATTGGTTTTTCTTGTTGGAAAGTAAATTCTAAGCGTTGCTTCATTTTAGTATGCCATACACGGAGGCGTGTATGCGTGAAATATTGCGATACGAAACGTTGATTCCATCTGGACTACCGCACACAGCACTCGTTGACACCGAATTTTTGGGCTATCATATTCCGAAGGGAACACTTATCATGCCCGCTTTGAACGCAGCCATGCACGATCCATCAGCATGGGATCAACCAGACGAATTTTTTCCGGAACGATTTTTGGACGCATCAGGGAAACTCAGCTTGAGCAAAGACATTTCGGTGTCATTCGGTGCTGGACGGCGTATGTGTGCTGGCGAGACATTTGCACGTAATATGCTATTTCAATTCATAACTGCATTCTTGCAAGCGTTCAGCGTTCGAATGCCCGACGGCGAAAAACCATTGGATTTCAATGAAAATCTTACCGGCACCATTCGTACATCGCCAGATTATTGGGTTCAAGTTACCACACGCTAATAATGCGTTTACGGTTTTTTTCGAACTCTACGAAAATTTTATTAACGATAATTCTTACTCCAAAAATACTCAATTATTCAAACATTTAATCGCATTTAGTTTCATCACATTTATGTGGATTGAAACAAATTTATTTGACTTCTAACGAAACTTTTATTAGTTTTTCTCAAAAAAATTGTATTTCTTTAATACTCTTCTTATTCACTCGATTAAGATTTCTGTAATGAATGAATAAAAGTCTTCTTTTTTATGCATTTATGAATTGGAGCGTTTAATTTTTCGATAGACAAATAACATTAAGTGTTAACATGAAGCGCTTTCCAGAGCGCCTTCTAAGGCGCGTTCCCGAATGCAGAAGGGCAAAATGTGTACACTGTACACTGTGAAAATTGGATTGCTGAGTTTTTTTTGTCTCTGTATGAAACATAACTCTTGATAAGGGGCCAAAAAATGATGTTCTGAGGCAACTCAGTGCCAAAGAACTTAGTACAAAGTACTACCTTTAAAGTAAGCTATCCTAGATATAAAAAAAATTGCTTTAATGCCGAATATCATTTGTTAAAGCCGATAAATTGATACAAAACCGTTTCATCGATGCTTTCAATGGTATTCGGGTAACATCACTCTTAGCGTCAAAATGATTGTTTCTGATATGCCATCGCATGCATTTGTACATGAATCCAATAAGAATAGCATGTTTTCATTGAAAAAAGAATAATGAACGTGTGCACAAAATCTTGATTTTTTCCATTTTCAACTTCTTTTCTGATTGAATGAAATTGAATGAAATTTCGAATGAAAATTGTCCATCCAAATTTTAAAAAAAAATTGTTCAATTTTTTATGATTTTTTTTTTAAACAAAATCCATTAGATTTGATTAAAACTTGAAGAAATAGTTCACGTAAATGTTCCAATGTTTTCATTAAACGTATGTGTTTCAATGCGTCAAACGTGTACAATGACTGCGATTGAAATAGATGCGTTGCGTTTGCCGCTGCGTATGTATGGGTCTTATCATTCGCGTTCACATACACAGAGAATTCAATTGTAGCGAACTGTCAAAACTGTATGTATCATTGAGTGAGATACGTCAAGAGACAAAATAGTATACAAGCTCAAAAAATTTCAATTGTGCACTAATTTGCCATTACAAATCCAATCGAATCGACATCAAAATGACATCAATGCTTCTAACTATTTTTTTTTTTGAATAGTTTTCTTTAATTTTCTGTTCACAACTCACGAAAAGAAAAAAGCCCAGTTGAAAGAGAGTTCGCAAATTGTTTGTTGTTTATGTTGTGTGTTGAATGCCGTCGCCCATTGTCGACTCACAAACATTGACTGATTCGGTTCACAGTTTTGATATCTTAAGTTCACGAATGATATGCTCATTTTGAGTCTCAATATCAAAAATACACGCGCATAAACCATTGTGGATTATCGGTACAATTTCCAGAAATTCTAGATAAAATTGTGATATTCTTCTTATCGTCAGAAAATGGCCATTTTCGAAGTAAGTTTTTTTTTCTCTTCAAATGACTCATGCAACCAAAATGTTAACAGAAACATATGATTAATTGTCTCATTATTTTCACTCTGTTCGATATGTTCAAGTGGAGAAAATTCAATTTCTTCGATCTGAAGACCAACGCCGACCACGGTAAACTGGGCGAAGTGCTGAAGGTAATTACACTCCAAATTTGCAGAGGTAATCGAGCGTTTCAATGGTTTTTGTTGTGTAATTTTGTAGGAGGCGACCATTAAATGCACGACAAATGGAAATAATCAAATAATCATTTGCGATTCATATGGCTGTATACACATTTTCGATCGCAACTGGGAGGCGTCTACATTCAAAGGTCACGTCGGACCCATCGAACTCTGTGAATTATCGCGGCAACATAATCTTCTAATTACTGTCGGTGTAAGTATAGAGAGAGAGAAAATGATAAATTGGTTTAAATAATAACCAAAAAAAGTTGTGGTATCAATCAGACGGAATTTGACATATACATGACTATCCATTTATTTACATCTTGACTGATTTTTCCCACTTCTCAGAAAGATGACAACGGAACGTTGCCCGTGTTCAAAATATGGAATTTATCCAAGGCGTCCAGTGTGAATGGCGGAATCTCAATGCCATGCGTTCGAACCGAAAAAATAATACTGCAAAAACCAACGGCAATTGCTGTATCGGAAAATGGACACTATTTTGCCATTGGTTTTGATCGTGGTACCATTTCATTGTATCGCGGTGACATCAGCCGAGATCGAACGAAAAATTTGAAAACCATTTCGGTCGGCACAACACCAATCACCGGCATTGCGTTTAAACAACACGCCAAAACCGTACAAATGTTTGTTTGCTCTGAATCGGGCGTTCTTGTCTATAATCTGCAGAGCAAAGACCGAGAAGTGAAAACAGTGCTCGATAAAACGGTCGCACCAACACGATGCTGTGCCTTACAAACGGCTCACGGAACCAATGAAACACATTTCATGGTCGGAAGAGATGATGTACGTATTTTAAAAGCAATTCAACAAATAAATTAATTAATTTGATGTGCTTGGCACACATGTGTGCTCTTTTTTAAAGAAAAAAATGGAATTTTCCATCAATTTAATTGGACATTCTGAACATTTACGAGAAATTTAATGTGTGATTTTGAAAATGTGTCTATTTTTCAGGCTGTTTATTGTTACACGATTGATGGTCGAGGTCCTTGTTATGCACTTGAAGGGGAAAAATCCATCATTCAATGGTTTCGATCGCATTTGCTAACCATTTCAAAGCCAACCAAAAACACTATGTCGTTACAAAAGTAAGCACTTTTTGAATTGATTCTGAATAATTAATGAATGTCAATCAAATGAAGTGAAGAATATGTTTTTAATCAATTTTTAAAATCCATTGAACAGAGAATCTGTGCTGACGGTAATTGATATTCTAAATAAGTTCATCGTATTTTCGACGCCAATCGAATCAACGGCCGCCATTCTCATTGAGTTTGGAACGTGTTTCATAATAACGGGCAATAAAATGGTGTATCATCTCGATGAAAAAGATTTGCAGAGCAAATTGAGTTTATTGTTTAAAAAGAATTTGTACGATATTGCTGTTCGGATAGCGAAAAGTAGTCAACATGATCCCGAAGGATTGGCCGATATTTTTAAGCAATACGGTGACCATTTGTATGGCAAAGGTGATTTTTCCGGTGCCGTTGATCAGTACATCAAAACCATTGGATACTTGGAACCATCGTATATTATTCGACGCTTCTTGGACTCAAGACACATCAATTATTTGACAGATTATCTGCAGGCAAGTTACAAATCAATCTTGATTCATATATATCTCATATTTTGAGTTTGTGAGCAAAAAAAGTCAATCAGATTGATTTCGGTCTCGGCTCATAGGTTTCATTTGCCTATACTGGATTCGCTCACCTTTATTCGCTATAAATGGAGCCAAAATTGGATTTATAAAATATATCAAATTAAATTTCCTTCTTAATAACAATTTATTTTTGTTGCTTTATTCCAGGCGTTGCATAAGCAGGGCAAAGCAACCGCCGATCACACAACTCTTCTACTCAACTGTTTCACTCGTCTTGACAAAACGGATCAAGTAAGAAACGTGTCAAAATCAATAATCAACTACTTTTTTTTAAACGATTTCCAAGTCACTTCTAACCGATTCTGTTCATTTCCAGCTCAAAGAGTTCCTGAGCAACGATCAAAATCCCGATTTGATGTTCGATTTGGATGTGGCGATCAAAGTGTGTCGAAATGCATCGGTTGAGCATGCTTTAGTGTTGGCCAAGCGTAACCTCAAGCACGATTCATGCATCAGTATTTTGACAGAGGATATGTTTGCGTATAATGAAGCGTTGGATTACATTGCCGAATTGCCGTTCGAACATGCGCAGCAAAATTTAAAGAAATTCGGTAATGTGCTCATGAAAAATTGCCCCGCACGAACAACCGAATTACTTAAAAAACTATGCACGGATTACTATCAATCGCAGAGGAATGAGAACGGTGATGCACGTGACTCTGGTCTGAATGACATCGGTGCCAATCATTTAATAAATGATACTTTGAATAATCTTTTCTTCGACGCATCGCCACAAATCGATCGTGCAAATCCCGAAGACTTCATTCATCTGTTTACCAAAGCATCTCCAGAGCTTCTGATTGACTTTCTCGAGCATTTACTGACGAACATGAGTAAATGCTCGCAATTGGTGTACAACACACTGATCGAACACTATTTACGGAGCTGGAAAACCGATGAGCGGGCCGAAAAACGATTGCTGGAAATTCTTCGTCGAACATCCAGCAGCGATGAACCCAGTCTGCCGTATGATCGCAATCATGTTCTCATTCTGTGCAGCACATACGAGTTTTGGCCCGGAATTATGTACATCTATGAAGAGCAGCAATTGTGAGTTTGAAATAGTTTTCGCTGAATTTTTAAAATGGGAAATTCAATTTTTATTTTTTATTTTTATTTTATTTTTGTGATACTTACGACTCTTATTTTTAGATATCACTTGATCGTGCGTTATTATTTGAAAATTGGTGATTATAACAATTTGATCCAGAGTTGCAAGCGACTAGGCAAAATGCAACCATCACTGTGGCTACAGGCATTGACTGGCCTTCGTGATAACAAAAATGCACCATCCAATTTGCTGTCTCAAGTGTTACAAGTTATCGGTGAGTTAATCTCGCTCTCACAGTGTTTCTTTTTCTTTTCTTTTTTTTTGAAAATAATACTTGATTCAGTCAAATTGACAGTGATATTCAAAGCAATCATGAAATTAATGAAAAATATTCCTTTGAAATTTAGCTCAAGAGAAGCTGCAATCACCACTTCAGGTGCTCGAGTGTGTGGCAGTTGAAAATGGACCAAATTTATCAGCCGTTCGGGATTATTTTTTGCAAGTATTCCAAAAGAACAATGAATCAGCGAAAAATGTAAGTTGATTTTGAGGACAAAACAATCGATCAATTTCAATTGATTTGCTTCGAAAACAGACAACATAGCAAAAAATCATTCGAATTAATCGAACTATGGGAATTCGTTACAGGAAGAAGAATTGGTTGAGAAATACCGAAAAGATTCGATTAAATTGCGAGAACACATCAAGCAATTGAACGAACGGCCAATCGAATTCCGAGGCACACTTTGCGATACATGCAATCAGCCATTGACCATGCCATCGATATATTTCCTGTGTCAACATGCTTATCACCAAGAGTAAGTTAGAACTGAAACTGAATAACGGACTCATTTCGTTCCGGAAAATACCGCTTTGAAATATGAATATCCATTTTTTGTCTCTAATTTTTTTTTTCAGAGCGCAAATTGTCTCAAGTATAATGTTCCTAAAGCATCTCTAATTAAATTTTATTTTTACGTTTCCACAGTTGCCTTCGTGGCTATTCGGAGAATGACAAAGATTGTCCGATGTGCCGTGCAAAGAATTCGCAGTTAATCGACGCGCTGCAGGCGCAAAGTGAATCTCGCGCACAACATGAGACCTTTCACAATCTTTTGAATCGATCGAACGAGCCATTCTCGGTAGTTGCAGAATACTTTGGACATGGAATGTTCAATAAAATCTTTATCGTTGAAGAGCCGGATGAAGTTAGTCAAGATGTAAGTATTTCATTTCATTTTTTTCCCTTTAAAACAATATTTTCTTTTAGCATTTCATTATCAATAAACCTCAATTGCGTTCATGACCTACAGGTAATCAAGGCGGTGCAAAAGCAGCAAACACAGCACGTTGAACCAAGTCCATATGATAGGTATGGTGCTGGAGCAGAGTCAAAGGTTCGCCTGGAAGAAGCCAGTGCGCTCAGCGTTAAAAAAGCAAATCCGGGCTACTATGCGGCTCCGTTGCCCGAGGGTCGAATGCGAGCACAAGAGCAATCCCGATATGTGTCGCCCGAAGTACGATCGCAAGATTTTGAGCGTCGTCATGTAAAACCGGTTCAGGATAACCGAAGACCACTTGCAAATGCAACGAAAAGCAATGCAACGAGGCCAGTGGCAGCGGCAGCGCCAACGCTAACGCCGAAAAATCCATTCGACGAAGACGATGAAAATAGTGACAAATATGATGAATCGAAAAATCCATTCGCCGACGATGATGATGATTCACCGAAAACGGAAGTAGCCAAAGAAACAAGCGATAATGACAATCCGTTTGGCGAATACGATAACAATTTGAATCCATTTGAATGAATCGCCCAAATTTCTCGCTCTCCCTGTCTGTAGACCACCTGTCATCAGCCTATACCGTGAGATAAATTAACATCTTGTCGTCACAACAAACATTCCACAAACACAACGACATTGGAGAAGGTATTTGCGGTAGTTGAACCGGAGATTCCGTGAAATTAAATGTGTTACATTGAGAACCGCAAAATTCAAAATATGCACTTTTTCTGCATCATCGTCTCTTCACACTCAATATTATAGCGACATCTATTATTAAAATAGCTTGTAGTAAATGCACTTATAGCATTTCCCTGTAGTTGCGATGTTTCCTATTAAGTTCCCTTGTAGTACTGACACATTCATGTTTGACACTTGTTAACTACATACCACAGGGGAATTTAATTGGTAACATCGCAACTACAGTGAAATGCTATGAATGCGTTTACTACAAGCTATTTTAATAATAGATGTCGCTATAATATTGAGTGTGTTGAAATTTTGTTACTATGTATTGTAATTTGTAATTAATCGAGATTAAATTAAACCAAATATTCATTGAAAATGGAAATGTTTGTTTTTCCCTTTGAATCCAACAGTTTGAGTTTAAATGATAACTTGATATTAGCGACCTCTTTCGAAAATATACCAGCAAGCAACGAAAAGTACAAAAAGGATAATAACAAAACGGACGACAGCTGTTTTTCCTTAGATTTAAACAACCACATACAAACATGTGTCTGTGATAGATCCACAGCTGAGTTACTGTCACGTGGCAGATCGACTCCATGATCACAACAAAATTTCGTTGAATTTATATGTTATTAAATCGAATGTCAATCAAGAGTCTTTCCAATCCATCTTTATCCATCCTTTTGTATATAATTAGCATCATATTTACTCTATTCATGAATAATTGGGTAGTACCAGTTGAACATATACAAGTGACGGCAATTTTGCAAGTATTTACACATTTATTTTTTTTAAACAAAATTGAATTTTATATGTTTTGAGGGAAAAAAAATTAAAGAAAAAACTCATTCGATTTTCTTATAGTTACTTCATTAACATTGGAGAATGTTTTTCGGTTTGGAAAAGATGGACGAACGTTCAGCGTTGTATTTTGTATGATTAGTTTAGTGACAACATTAATGTTTTCATTTATAAGTGTAAGGGATGTGCAAGAAAAGGGATGGCAATTTTATATGAAACACTTGCCTTTCAATATTTCCATTTAAATGGATTAGTTGGTTTACTCAATTAAATATTAAAAAAAACAGGGAACCCCACAATGTGGATGTATATAAATATGTGAGCATTTGAAAAATTTATGTTCATCGATTGCCAATTGGTAAATATATATGTAATAGTAGCAGCTAATTATTTTGTTTGCAGTGTGACATAAATATATTCAAGACTTTCTCAATGAATATAAGAGCATTTAACGTTGGTCGAATGATTATCATGTACATCCAGATTGTATGTTTATTCTTTTTAATCCCTATCCGATTTGTGCTATGCTGTCAAGGGATTTACTTTATTTTGAGTATGTAGAATATTTTATTGTTTTTACTTATTTGTTTTTCATCCCCATCACTATGTTACTAATGTTTAAAATACAAGGCCGTAGCCAGCTCGAAATGTCCGGGGGCGCTCAAAAATTAATCATGAGCGCAGAAGTAATGAAGACTAAAAAAGCTAATTTTATAGGTTTTTATCGTAGCATTATCTTCTAGCCTATATAATTGGAATTTTTAAAATCAAAATCAATAACTCCAATTTAATATAATTTGAAGATATTCATATATATATCCTATTTAAAACCAATTATTTATTGCTCAAAGAGAATAGACATTTTTTCCGAGTTTTCTGGTGTTTCTTTTTCTCTGATTTATCAAAACTATTTATGTGTTTGTAATGTATTTTATCCATTTTGACATGATTACAACATAACCTCACTTCTTTGAATTGAATGAGACTTTGATGCGAAATAAAAAATGTTGTGTACAATGTTTGGAGCAGATTTTTTGTGTTTGAATTATCCTTGTACGAATTTATCAGTAAACAAAAAATCTGCCTTAAAGCTTGAACGAAAAGTGAAGCGATTTTTATTCTTGTTATCGGCGTGCAGATATTGTGATTAAAGGTGTCAACGAACACGAACAGTTCGAAAAAAAGTCGAATTTTGTTCGTTCGTTCGTTCGTGGGCGCTTCAAAAATTGACGAACGTTCGTTCGTTTGTTCGGAAATTTTCCACGAACAAACGAACACGAACATCGCACTGTTCGAAATTCATACAAAAATTCGAACGTTCGGAAAATTTACGAACACACGAACAATTTTCCACTGTTCGAACCTTTTCATTGATTTTCGAACGTTCGGGGAAATTTTTTTCATCTTCACAAGGAATATTTTGAGCTCAACTCAATTTAATCGTTGCAACGATTGGCCACACACTCGCACGGAGGTAAAACATTGCTGTTTTTTTTTCACTTTTTTTCAAAATTTTAAAGCAGAATATTGTTCTAATATCTAATGGGTTTGCTTTGGCAAACAATGTTATTTAAAAATACACATGTGCCGAGCTATCTCAATCGATCACTGTAATCGTTGCAACGATTGCCAAACAGCAATGTTTTACCTCCGTGCGAGTGTGTGGCCAATCGTTGCAACGATTAAATTGAGTTGAGCTCAAAATATTCCTTGTGAAGATGGAAAAATTTTCCCCGAACGTTCGAAAATCAATGAAAAGGTTCGAACAACGAAAAATCATCAAATGAAGATAAAACAAATTGATATTTTGAATATTGGCCTTAATGTGCACCTACAATTCCATTATCTGACATGAAGCTTGTATAGTAAGTACTTTGTTCAACAGCTCTTGGTCTAAAATTGACCATTTTTGGTGGACTCATTAACATATTTCGGAAACACCTGCACTCTTGATATTTTGTGCATAGTTTCTACAACGTTTCAATAGTAAATCACAGAGGTTTTATCAAAAAATATTCATGAATTTCAAAAATATAGCAATTTGAATTTGCACTGTGTGAAAAATGATCAAATTTGTATGAAGATTAAAACAGATCAAATTCAAATTGATATATTTTTTAAATACGTGAATATTTTTTGATGAAACCCCTGTGATTTACTATTGAAACGTTGTAGAAACTATGCACAAAATATCAAGAGTGCAGGTGTTTCCGAAATATGTTAATGAGTCCACCAAAACTGGTCAATTTGTATGAAAAATACCTAGTGGTTCCAAACTTTTGCACGGTAGTGTATCACTGAAAGCTGCCATTCAGGAAATGTTGACTTCATTCGATTTCGATTCCATCAAAGTTTGAATAAATAAATATAAGTATCAAATGTAAAAAATGTTAATTAATTTTAATCCTAATAATCCAAACATAATTTATTGAAATCAAAATCGAAATACATCTAAAAAAAATATTGAACCGGTTTTTCAAATCCACTTTTCCCGATGAAAATACTAAATAGATGATTGAAAAACATATGTATTTAGTTGTGTTAATACATCAAACAAAAAGGTAAATTGACTCCTCTTTTGGAAATTTGCACTTCATCATTTGACGCTAGCGACATCTACCGAAAACATCCTAGATGAAGAACAGTGGAAAAGGGTAATGGGAAAACGACCGTTTACACAACTATTATAATCTCTTGATATAATGAAAGAAAAAAACAATTGCAATCGACAAAAAATAATAAATATTTGGTTCTAAAAATGTATATGTATGGACTAGTAACTTAGTTAGTTGTGTGATCGTTCGTGCAGTCATTTCTCTCCTCATTGGACAGAAAATGAAATGATAAAATGGAAAAAAAATAATCCTTATATTGTTCCCTGAGTAATGTGGTCATAATTTGTATAGTAATTTAAATAGTAGATCTCAACCATTGTACAACTAGATGTAAGCATGAAGAAACCGAATAAATAATGATAATAATCCGTCAGAAGTTGTAACTACCTATGGTTATGGGGTAGTGCGCGAACCAAACATATTAAGACGTTGTGATGCAAAGTATATGTCATCTAAGCCACCAAATCAGGCAGTGTTCTTCATGACCGGTGGAGATACGCCGAATGGTGAAATTGTTGAACCACCTGGCGATCCTAGCGGACCGGTTGTCTCAGAAACATATGGCAAAATCATGAAATCATGGGCATAAACCAGGGTGTAAATGGAACGTCACTACCCAGCACCAATCAGGTCATATTGCAAAACACTAATAAGCGTACGCAATGAACTAAACAGTTCCCTGATTCAATCCAAAATCCAAAATCCAAATGGAACGTCAACAGGTGGTCGCGGACTATTTCTTCCCATTTTCCTCTTTCTTGATTTTATCAATGATCCAAAGGTAGATTGAATATAATGAACTTATCCTAACATTCCTTTTAATTTCATCGCTAAACTTATTGCAGAGCGTGACGGCGAAGAAGTAATGTGCTTTTATTTGCACGTGTCCTCATTGCATGTTATTTACTATCCATTTCTTTTACTTGTTTTTGTTTCGAATGAGGGTTTTTATGCGGTGAGAAATTCGTTTCTTGCTGTCATTTTTCCCTGTCATTCCATTTCAAAGTTAAATAAACAATATATAAATGCGAATATATGAGAAAAGTACATTTAATTTTATTTTCAATTGATCGTTGCGCAGTTATACGATTATCGTGGTTAGATAGGGTTGTTGACAAACTTATAAGCTCTATTTACATGTAATTTATCCACTGATTTGTGCAAAGAAATCGAACGAAAATGTGTGAAATAACGAGAGAACGTGTGTTTTATGCAAATGTCTTACATGATTTCGAGGGTAAAAATGGGATTGGCCAAAACCGCCAGTTTATAGGCGAAATGTAAACTATTTTAATGTTTCTGAAGACATAGGAGACATATACTTCATGCAATGTTCTTAAAAATTTCAAGATATTCATTTTTGCTTGAGAAAATGGCCTCCTATTTCTCACCAGGAACGCATATATGATTCCCATGTAACTAAGCGCATTTGGCTAATCCCATTTTTATAATCAACAACACATATTTATGTACATGATGAGCCTTCATCACGAATTGAACAAAAAAGTACCCTTAAAGTAAATTCATATCATCACTGTGCACTCCAGCATCACATGAACAAAATTCCTCTGGTGCACACGTAGAGCCGTTATTTTTTTCATTCCATCTGAACAAACACAAAAGTGGTGTGTTGAGCTAAAGCCGTTTTCGAAAATGATTATTCGTTTATTGTGCGACGTTTCACTCTTATTAGGAGCATCATCAGGCTGGAGAACAAAAATGTACACAAAAAACATTGAGTGTGTGTTGAAACAATTGACAACAGCCGAAAATAACCAAATTACAAACCAGTTACATCTGAATTTAAAATGTTTTCGAACGTATTCCATTTTTTTCTATCAATTTCCACATATTGTATCAGCTACACGTGTCCATCAAAGGAATTTTGTTATTGAGCTTCATTTAGTGTCTGAATATGATTACACTATGCAACAACAAGAAACAACCACAGAGAAGAGAACTTATTTCCAATGTTTTTTGGGCCCACTAAATCCAAATCTGGCGTTAGTTTGTCCTGGCACGTCAAGTTTCCAAGATACGTTCATTGCGGTTTCCATATCAGATTAGGATTAGGTGGGCCACACCTTGGAAATGAGTCTCCTCTTTTTTGGGGGAATTTTTTTTCGAATTTTGTTGCATAGTGTTAGTATACCTCAATTCATAAATTCCATAACTGAAAAATACTACAATTCATCAATTATACGTTGGAGTGCACGTGTCAGCTATTGGTAGATGAATGGTATAAAAGAGGCGCCACCGCATAGGGAAGACCAACCGAATTCAAAGTATCTCTTCTCAAATTATCATTGTGCAACAGGTTAAAACTCTGTTTCGTTGGCAAATTAAAATGAATCTACTGCACGGTTTGTTTTTGGTGCTATTCATCGTTGAATTTTCGGTAAGTTTTTTCTATTCCTTTATCATTTTCACTTTTATCCAATAAAATACGATATTTCTGTAAAACTGAAAGTACACATGAAATTTCTTTTTCTAGGAACTTCAAGGAAAACGTAAGACAAATTTTGTTTTCGTACACGCTTTTTATGATTCCAAGAGATTTTTCATTTTAAAATTTCAACTATTTTCTCTAATGAACAGATGGCTTTTTCTCGCAAGCTCTTTCTAAGGGCGAAGTAATTGAAAACATGCCACAGGCAAAGTTTGTGGCTGGAATCCATACCCCTGCAAGTAAGTCTGCTTTAGAATCATTTTCATTTTTTTTCGTGTGAATTTTTGTCCGAAAAATTCAAATATTCTATCAATTTTGCTAGGGGCTGACCATGACCACGCTTCAGTTAATTGAAAATAATGCTGGATTTTATAATTTTGTTCAAACAATATATTATTTACAACTGTGATATTTTTCGAACTTTCTCCAGAAACGATTCGCTGCAAATGATAACTTTCAATTGTGCGTTGTCAGTTTACTGTCAGAAAATTCATCACATTGTGGTGGTCAAAAGTATCGTTCATAGTGGATTATAGATTTAGTCAAATATTTGAGTCAACAAACATGGTATTAATACTGAATGATAGAAACGAATTTTTTAGATGAAGAATTCGTGGTTTCTCCCTAGCAATTTTGTGTGTGTGTGTTCATTTTTTCTTCAAATATTATTGCTTGTACTGAGAATGAAACGATTTTATTACAAAATATTTGCATGAATACAAAGACCATCCAAATGATCCCAATCGAAAATTTATGAGTAAGTGTACCGCATTTATTCTGTCAAAAACGGAAATTATCACGAATGCCCATTGTGTGGCTGGCGCTCCATATGTTTATGTGGTAGCTGGTACGAAAGTTGCATCAGACGAAAATCAAAAAATCAAAATCAAAGTCGAAAAAGAGAACATTGCATGGCACCCTCATTATAGTCGTTTAATTTTTGGTGCATTTGATATTGCCAAAGTTACACTGAAAACGCCGTTAGAATTCAGCGATACCGTTGGCAGTATTGAACTCGTGGACAAGGATTACAAATTGAATGACCCATCAGAAGTGGTCACTGCCTATGGATATGGCGTGCTGAACAACATCGGACCAATGATATTGAGGCGTTGCGATGCGAACTATATATCTGATGCCAACACATCTAAACTAAGTCAGACTTTGTACTTTACCACTGGCGAAGCTAGGAACGATGGCAAAATTATTACACCTGGCGATTCGGGTGGACCAGTCGTTTCAAAAACAAATGGCAAAATAGTGGGGATAATAGTGGGTATAAATGGAACAGGAGATGGTCGCGGAGCGTTCCTTCCAATTACTCTATTTCTTGATTTTATTCGTGACCCAAAGGTATCTAATCACAATGCCCCAAAGTTCATTCTCAACAAAGCAAACAAAATCAATTTTTACTTTTATTTCAGAGCGTGAAATCACTTCCACCTCCGCTTGCACCTAACGAAGCTAAATTTATAGCCGATATAATGGCACCGGCAAGTAAGTGTGCATTCGAAATTCGAACTAAATCAAACCGTTTTTAACGTCCATTTTTTTTTTTTTAAATAGAGGAGAAGCAAAAGTGGATATTTTTTATGATTCATAAACATGAATATTCATTCTGAGATGTTTTTCTATTACAGAATTTGTTACTGCTTACAAACCAGATTATGACGATGCCGACGAAGATCTTGAGCTAAAATTTAATGCAATCATTTTGTCGAAAACGGAGATTTTGACCTGTGCACATAATGTGCACGGCGCTTCATATGTCTATGTAATCGTTAATAAACTATCAAGCAATCCGACAAAAATCAAAGTCACCAAAGACCAAATAGAAATTCATCAGAAATACGCATTGTCGGGATTCGCATTTGACGTTGCCAAGATTACACTTAAAGAACCGTTGCAGTTCAACGACAACGTCGGCAGCATCGATTTGGTGGACAAAAATTACAAATTGAATGACCCATCCGAATTGGTCACTGTCTATGGTGATATGACATTGGATGGAACGATGAGAACGAGGCGTTATGATACAAAGTATTTGAATGGCGCCATTTGCAAACCGGAATATGGCGCTGCATTTGATGCAAATCATTTGATGTGTTACACTTTAGATGAAAGCATGGGAACTCCCTTTACGTTTGGAGGACCAATCATTTCGAAAAAGAATAACAAACTCGTGGGCATGACCATATTTCGTTCGCGTGGTAAGCCAGTTATTTTTCAACCGATTGCATCGTTGCTTAATTAGATCCGGAAGCCAAAGGTGGGACGTAATCAAAGAAGAAGAATATAGGCTTGAAGAAAGGGGTTTTAAGCGCTTGAAAAAGCTGAATTCCGTCTCTTTTTTTGCCCCTGTCATTTGATGTTCAACAAAAGAACCGAATAAATTTGAAAATTTGAGAAAAATGCATTTTAGTTTTCATTCTCCCATGCACAGTTACGTGATTATCTGAAATAATTGCGATATATATTACAACGAGGTTTTTATACATATTTCCTATGTAGTAGAACTGCCAGTTGAACGTTCATGAACGGTTCATGTTCAAAAATATTGTTATATTCATGTTCATGTTCGTTTGAGTTCATGTTCAGTTTTCTTAAAACTGTTCACGTTCAGTTCAAGTTGGTTCAGATTTGATTCAGAAAATACTCCAATTCTACTGAATAGGAACAAATTGAAACACGCATTTGCGAACATATAATGCACTCAACAAAATCCGTCGCACAGAAAGCAGTTGTGCAGCCGTGCTGTTTGCACATAGGACTTTTTCGCATACACATCGTCGTTCATCGTGTTTCATACAAACGAAATCAGCACACAGACACACGCGTGTATACGTGTTTGTATGCGCCGAACACTCAAAGCCGAGTTCCGTACGAAGCATGGCTACAGTGATGGAATGAATTACTAGAGAGCGTTCGGCACATAAGAAACACGATGAACGGACGATGTGTATGCGAAAAAGTCCGATGTGTAAACAGCACGGCTGCACAACTGCTTTCTGTGCGACGGATTTTGTTGAGCAGTATTTTCAATGTACATACATTCTTCACAGACTAAAACTAAGCGATATATTTAGGTATGAAATATTGAGGAATTTTCGACATCATCTTTTGACCGACGAAATTTTCTAATTTGCACATTTTAAACATGGAATTGGACTCAATGAGTTCAGTTGCCTCCAAGAAACTCATTCAATCCATCAAGCCGTCATAAACGAGTGTATTTCAAAATTTTGTAGAAAGAAAGTTGAGTCAATTTTTTTCCCAATATGAATGATTTTCGATTTCAACTTTTGAACGACAACAGTTTTGTTCGGCGTATCTTAGCTATGAGATTGATTTCAATGTGTTCAAGTAGACTTCAGAAACTCATTCAATTTATCAAACTATGAAAAATGGTTCGATTTGAAAATTTCGTTGGAAAATGTGTTGAATGTGTTTTGCCTTATATGAAGGAATTTTTGATTCATAGGCACGACATGAGCGAACAGCACTGATGTACTGCTTACAGCACCGAGTACTCCCGCAGTGGTGAGAAACTAAAACATACCAATCACCAATATTGATGTTCACGATCATCAAATTGTTCATACTAAATTTTATCCACTTTAGGCACTCATAACTGCTCATAACTGCTCATAACTGCTCATAACCACTCATAAAAATAAAATTCTTGATTATTAGAATCACATATCAAGTTTACATGCTAACAAAAAATCAAATCGGGAAAATTAAAAGTAAATTCGGCAATTCGACGAATTACCGAACGTTTTTTGTGTTTTCGGCAAAATATCGAACTATCAACAATGTTGTCGAAATTCCCTCACATCGGATTCCATTTTCATAGGAATTCAATACTGCCATTGATGCAATTCACATAGTAAATTATCTGAATTTATCAAAATATCCGATCGAACAAATGCAGAAAGACCAATTTGGAGTAAACGAAAAATGTAAACAGGAACGAACTGTCGTTTAAAACGGAAACTTTACGGATCATTTTGTTTTGAAAACAAGTCAGACTCATAACGGTTTTGTTTGTGGCGATGGTAGCGATTCAAGCGGCATATGATGGCACATGATAGCCTTTTAAATTTTATAACAAATGTTATGTTTCGAATATTTTAACCACAGAATTGGATTCAATGAGTGCAGTTGGCCCTTAGAAATCCATTGAATTCATTGAACTCTCAAAAACGAGTAGATTTGGAAATTTCACTGAACACAAATTGAATCGACTTTTTTCTCTATATGATCAATTTCCGACATTAACTTTTGCCTGATGAATTTTTTTTTCGTACCTTTGTGGTACAAATATGAATCTATTTCAATAATTCGTGAAAAAAATTCAGAAAATGAATCGAATATCAGAGAAAAAATTGAAATGATTCAGTCACGCTCAATGGAATGCTATGGATCCATTTTAACCATGAAACAGTCGCGGTATAGACTATTTAAAAATTTTAATATCATAAAATTTGGTATTTGTCGTTCTAAGACACAAAAGATTGAAATAATATCTCACAATAATTTAAAATCAATCACGCATGCACTGTTTTATGATTGGAGTGAGTTTATAGCATTCTATTGAACATGATTGAATCATTTTTCTGATATAAAGTTTCCGAATTACAAACAAATTGCAATCTGAAAGTCGATAAATTTTGCTCTCGTATAAAAATGACTGAATTTTTTCTTCACGAAATATTGAAATAAATTCATATTCGGTATTTTTATGAACTGAATGAGTTTGTATGGTCCAATTGAACATAGTGGATCCTTTTTTACCACAAAAATAATAAAAACAAAAAAATTTCGTCAGTCAAAAGTGATGTTGAAAATTCATCAAAAGGGAAAAACTCGATAGACTTTTTTTCCAACAAAATTTTGGAGTTCACTTGTTTTTGATAGTTCAATGAATTCAATGGATTTCTAAGGGCCAACTGCACTCATTGAATCCAATTCTGTGGTTAGAATATTGAAATCAAAGATTTTGTCAATCAAAAAGTGATGTCGAAAATGTCTCATATAGAGAACAAAATCGATTCAAACAATTTTCAGTGAAATTTTCAATTCTTCTCGTTTTTGATAATTTATTGAATATCCGAGGTATGCCTGAACACAACAAAACCACTTCCACGGTTAATATGTCGAAAACAAAAAAATTGTCCTTTCGAAATTTGGAAACGAAAATCATATTAGGATGCAATTGACTCAAATTTGTTTCAACAAAGTTTTGAAATACATTCATTTATGACGGTTTGATGGATTGAATGAGTTTCTAGAGGCGAACTAAACTCGTTGACACTAATGCCATGTGTAAAATGTGTAAAACAGAAAAGTCGCAGGTCAAAAGTTGATGTCAAAAATTTCCTATACAAGGGGAACAAATCAATTCAATTTTTTCATCAACGAAATTTTCAGACCGACCAATATATTTGGTAGTTTAATGAACTGAATGAATTTCCATGGGCCAACTGGATTTATTGAATCGGTTTCAGTTTTTAATCCAGACATTTTCGATAGTTTTATTTTAAAATTCAAAATTTCTCACATTTTTAGGAAATTGTAGCTTCTCAATGCAGTTTTCATATAATCAATTCATAAATCACATTCTGAGCGTCATATTAAATTATTTGTTTTTCCTATATATTTCTAGAGCTCGAACAAATGCTGTTATTATATTTGCTTTATATATTTTCAGTTTTTAACCTTAAAATATCGCTTAGTTCTAGTCTGTTAAACGTGCATTTATAGAAAATATTTCATCCATTGCATGAAATCTTTTTTGAAGACACATTTCATGCAGGCATTGTATTGAGTCCGTATTCATGCTTGCATGGATAAGCTATACTGTCTGTTTCAGGCAAACATGCGTTGCATTACTGTGTAGTCACACTTGCCGTCAAATATACGCACTCGACTGTGTTGTGGATTTGTCATCCAGTAGCCATTGCATGTATGTGGATTACTGAATTAGTGCGTACATCAACAATAGCCGTTTGAGCGTTCGCATAACAAATAACTCATTGCAGTTTTGAGATAATTTCGCCCGAAAGTAGTTGAAACCGCTATATTCAGTCTGGGTAATATTACTCACTAAAACACAACTACTGGAAAGAGTTCTAGATGGAGTTAGATGTTATATTAATGTCATATTCTCTGAACGATGGAAAGTAATAAGATTGTAATGAGCTAGGTAATGAGTATCTTATTACTTTTGGTGCAAAAAAAAATTTCCACCCATTTTGCGATTTATTTTCCAATTCTCAGCCCGAATCGAGTGGAATCGAGTTCTCAAAATTCGAAGTAGGCGAACCATCAGAAGTAGTACGGCAAAATACCAAATTGCCGTAGTAATTTTTTCATTGGAGGTAAAATGTTGAATTACCACTAATTTTTTATTCGGTAGGTAAATTTTAATTCAGTGGAAAAAAGCCGCTAATAGGGAATTTGAAGAGTAATAAAGCACACCATATCCGCGAAAAACGCGATTTTTATGTTATAATTTTTCGTGTAACTGATAAGAGATAACAAGCTGGTGTCTTCAGGAATGTTGTAGAGCTCAACTCTTTCTATAGCTTTGCTGAAGACAGATTTCCCCTAACTCTTATCAGTTACGCGAAAAATGACAAGTAAAAAATCCGTATTTTTCGCGGTCATCTGCGGTTTTTCGCGTATTTTGCGCAACTGATAAGAGATAAGAGATATCTGTCTGGGACAAAATTGTAAAACGGGACAAGTACTACAATATTTTTGAAGATTTAATCTCCTTATCTCTTATCAATTATGCGGAAAACCGCGAAAAACGCGATTTTTATGTTATCATTTTTCGCGTAACTGATAAGAGATGACAAGTTAAAGTCTTCGGGAATGTTGTAGAACTCAATCTGTTCTACAACTTTGCTGAAGACAGATATCTCTTATCTCTTATCAGTCCATTAAAAAATTAGATACAAAAAATACGCGTCTTCCGCGTTTTTTGCATATTTCGCGGAACTGATAAGAGATAACGGAATAGTGTTTATGGAAATATTGTAGTACTTGACATGTTCTATAACTTTGCTCAAGACACAAATCTTTTATCTCTTATCACACTCTGGTTTTCATACAAAAATGCACTTTGGGCACTCAGGCACCCGATTCACGTATAGCGCATCACACATGCTTATGCACATATGTGATGACGTAGTATGCGTATGTGAGTATGTTAGCGCAATTCATGTAGTCAAATGTTCAACAAAT